AGCAACCCTCAGTTTGTTTTGTGAGATTAAGAGTCACTTATGGTTTGTCTCCTTCCCGATCCCATCTTGTTCCATTTATTCTTCTCCTACCCCCCAAACCCCCCATGTTGCATTTCCACTGCCTCATATCAGGGAGATCATGTGATAGTTGTCTTTCTCCGATTGACTTATTTCACTAAGCATGATACCCTCTAGTTCCATCCACATCGTCGCAAATGGCAAGATTTCATTTCTTTTGATGGCTGCAATTACTATGAATTTTTTTAAAAAAAGGCAAAACATCATTGTTTCTACTGATGGAAGTTGCTCTTGATTGTTTTACTCTATATCTCACAAGAGGTATTTTTATAATCTATGATAGGAATGTCTTTATGCTTCTAAATGCAACTATAATAAGAAAATGAGTCTTTCATAATCTTACATAATAATCTTTCATAATTGTGTTCTTTCCCATTTGTCCTTTTTCATTAGATAGTCATAATTTTTTTTTTTTTTTCGTGGATGCCACAAACTGTTTTATTTCCCCTCCTGAAACCCACTGTGATTTACTGGCCGGCTCTGGTGTAATTCCAGTCTCTGCTCAGGAAAGACAGGGCAGCCGTCTACGCGGCTCCGTGGGGCCAGGGGCTGCGCACACGTGCTCGCCTTGGGCATTCTGCCCTCTTGAAAGCTTTCAACTGATTGTTTTTAAAAACTTTTTGCTCTGCCACTGCCAATAGATGGGAACGCGATGGACTTGAGCTTCTTATCGTCGGCCAGGGCCAAGCAGTTCTTCACTGTCTTTTCCAGAAGTTCCTCACACTTGTCTGCACCCCAGACTGGACTGTTACAGTGGATCACAAACTTGGCCGGCAGGCCATGGCCCGCGCTGACAGCAGCTCCAGCAACTTCCAAAGGCCCGTTCTTTTTTTTCGGAGCTCCAGAACCGCTTCCACAAACTCCTTGCCGCCTTTCTTCTCCAGCGTGTTTCCTAGGTCATCTTTAAGGTCAATGTCAGCATTGGTAGGATTGATTATGGCCTCCACCTCAAAGCCGGCTAAATTACTGATTTCACTGTGAATAAGGTTCAGCTTCTGTCCGAGGAAGAGGCTCTTCGTGGAGAGGACCGTGAAGCCATCGGCCGGCGTACCCTCGGTGGTGCTATCAGCGCTGGCGGCCTTGCTGACATCCCCATGCTTCTTCTCGGATTTCCGGGCCCCTTTCTTGCCTCCTCCTTTCTTAGACACGGGCTTCTTCTGGGATAGAGACTTGGCCTTTTTGGCTGGGGAATGCCTGGAACACAGGCAGTAAAACGAGAGATTAGGTTACCTCTAAGTTAGCTTACTCATCTAAGTTCTATAATTCTAAAAAAAAAAAAAAAAAAAAAAAAAAAAAAAAGCTACAAACACTTTTAGTAACAAAATTATTTACATATTTGGGTACAACTCAAATATCCACCAACAGAAAACTACTTAAACAAATTGCAGGACTTCTATATAATAGATGACTTTGTAACACAAGAAGTTAATAAATAAAAAGGACTGTTTTCTATTAATTTATACAGGAAGATCTCTAAGATAAATTGCTAATTAAACAAAGCTAGTTACAGATAGTTTATGGAACAATACTAATTTTTGTATAACACAAACGGAAAAATATTCCATTTATTTGTATTTACATAAACAATGGAAAATTACCAAAACTGTTTAATAAAAATGGTTAACTGAGGTGGGGATGAGTGACAAGAGAGAAAATCAGAATGAATAGGGGCAGGAGTGGGAGCAAGTCCTTTTTTTTTTTTTTTTTTTAATTTTTTTTTTTTTTAATTTGACAGACAGAGATCACAAGTAGGCAGAGAGGCAGGCAGAGAGAGAGAGAGGAGGAAGCAGGGTCCCCACAGAGCAGAGAGCCCAATTGCGGGGTTCGATCCCAGGACCCTGGGGATCATGACCTGAGCCGAAGGCAGAGGCTTTAACCCACTGAGTCACCCAGGCGCCCCGGGAGCAAGTCTTTTAAAGGCATATATTTCCTGTTGTTTTTGAATTATGTGAAGGCATTACCTATTCAAAAAGATTCTAAGACAGAAACATTTTCTAACTCGTAGCTTCATCAGGCAGCTCAAAGAAACCTGAGGAGAGTGAGGAGGTGAAATTTCATGTAAATCTTTAACAATAGCAACAATAGCATATATCCAAAGACAGCCTTCGTAAAAGGAACACCAAAGATTTTATAAATTTTTGGTGGTTATCTCTCTCACACATTGGGAAGACAACACAACACAACCTGGGGACACAGTGAAACCTGACGACAGCAAAAATAGCAGCAACCAAAAAGAAGCAGCAAATGCTCTTTGTTGGATACATACTTGGGGTTGCATACTTTGTTAAACTTAATATTCATAATTTTATTTATTCCTTCAAACAAATTCATTTTAGAGATGAGGAAAATGAGAACAGGGTGGGAAAATGTGCATTTTATCCCATATTTTTCTGACTCCAAATTCTTCACTGTAATCAGATTGGCAAATAAACCTCAAGCTGAAGGGGCTTTCCTTCCATGCCCAAGCCCTTAAGGGAAATAACAACTCTGAATTAGATGCATATATACTCATTGTATCTTTTTGAACAACGTCAAAAACAGCTAACTAATACTGATATTACCAGACTTTAAATTTTATTGAAATAAATACACATTTAATGCAACTTGCTTAAAAATAAAACTAGTGTTGAGCAACAGGACTTAACATGTATTTGTAACTTCAATGGATTATATTATACTTTTCCTATTTTGCTTATGTCTTGAGTGTGGTACGATTTTAATTATTGTAAAATAGGGTTCTACTAGATGCTTTAAAAAGAAAAAGGGAAGAAATGTGTTTTTTTGTTGTTTTTTTTTTTAAGATTTTATTTACTTATTTGACAGACAAGTAGGCAGAGAGGCAGGCAGAGACAGAGAGAGGAGGAAGCAGGCTCCCCGCCGAGCAGAGAGCCCGATGTGGGGCTCGATCCCAGGACCCTGGGATCATGACCCGAGCCGAAGGCAGGGGCTTTAACCCACTGAGCCACCTGGGCACCCCATGGAAGAAATGTTTTTAGGCTTGCTTTTCAACAAGCATTACAAACAAGACTATAACTAGAGAGTCAAAATAAAGCAAGAAACCCTGGGAGATTGGCACCATTCTAAAAAGTGGATGGAACTAGAGGGTATCATGCTTAGCGAAATAAGTCAATCGGAGAAAGACAACTATCATATGATCTCCCTGATATGAGGGAGAGGAGATGCAACATGGGGGGTTAAGGGGGTAGGAGAAGATTAAATGAAACAAGATGGGATTGGGAGGGAAACAAACCATAAGTGACTCTTAATCTCACAAAACAAACTGAGGGTTGCTGGGGGGAGGGGGGTTGGTGGGGGGGTGGGGTTATGGACATTGGGGAGGGTATGTGCTATGGTGAGTGCTGTGAAGTGTGTAAACCTGGCGATTCACAGACCTGTACCCCTGGGGATAAAAATATATTATATGTTTATAGGAAATAAAATTTTAAAAAAATCTAAAGAAAAAAAAGAATTAAGGAAGGCTAAAAAAAAAAAAGAATGTTTTGTTGAGTGTTGTATGACAAACTTATCAGGAAATTATGCTAATTAACTTAATCTTGGAACATTTTGGAAATACACTGTCTATTGACTACTACAGGTATTGTTTACTTAAATTGATTCTCTAACTAGTGATTTGCTAAATAATATATTACACATTACAACAACATAACAAAGTAAGAATAAAAAGAATAATGTAAGTGCTAAAAAAAAAAAAAAAGTAGGGGCCAAAGGAAAATACAACTAAACAGACCCTAGTTTGTTTGTTTTAGAGACTTATGAATGGAATCATTTTCAGTAACAAAGTTTATTTTACATAGTTTTATTTAAATAGATGCATTTAAAACTAACACACTTTTGGATTTCTTTTGTTTTTTTTCTACATAGTACACTTCATTTTTTGAGTTTAATCATCACCTAGAGTCTATAATGGACAAAGCATATATCTACAGGTAAAGTAAACTCAGTATACTTCTGGGGGTGGCAGAGAAAGTAATGGTGCAATAGTTTAACCAGCATTTGAGAAGAATATGATCTCCCTGCCAAAGAAAACAGAAATTAATAAATAAAAATTAATTAATTAATTGAAATAAATAAAAATAAATTTTAAAAATTCTGCAATTGCAGAATTTTGGCTGTATAAAATAAAAGGTTATGTTCTAAAACAGACTTGAATATTTTGAAATGAGATAAAAGCATGAAAATCCTATTAGATTTTAAAAGAATACAGAACTAAAAATAGAATGCATTACCTGGGGGCGCCTGGGTGGCTCAGCGGGTTAAAGCCTCTGCCTTCGGCTCAGGTCATGATCCCAGGGTCCTTGGATCGAGCCCCACATCGGGCTCTCTGCTCAGCAGGGAGCCTGCTTCCCTTCCTCTCTCTGCCTGCCTCTCTGCCTGCCTGTGGTCTCTGTCTGTCAAAGAAATAAATAAAATCTTTAAAAAAAAAAAAAAAAAGAGAGAACGCATTACCTGTTTCAGTCAGAACAAGTACAGATAAGCGTGCTCCTTCACAAGTTGACTTTGTATCTCTCTCATAACAATTCATTTTTTTTTCTTTAAATTTATTTGACAGACAGAAATCACAAGTAGGCAGAGAGGCAGGCAGAGAGAGAGGAGGAAGCAGTCTCCCCGCTGAGCAGAGAGTCCGATGCGGGGCTCGATCCCAGGACTCTGGGATCATGACCTGAGCCGAAGGCAGAGGCTTTAACCCACTGAGCCACCCAGGCGCCCCATAACAATTCATTCTAATCTGAATTTCATTCATTTGCTCTCCTGAACTTCACTTGCACAGAGACTTCTAGTCACTATTAATCGTAGCATAAAGTCCCATGAGCTTTTCAGAGATATCCAGTTAAATCAGTCTAGCGTATTTTATGTGACTCAAAGTGGAGAGGTGACCCCTGAGGCATGTCTTTCAGGGGGTTGATTCATACCATCTGTGAAAAGAGAGGAAGATTTTTTTTTTTTACGCTCTGTCGGTCCCAGTCAAGACACTGCAGTTAGAAAACATGCAATGGCACCATCATTTTACACTGTACTAATGAGAGTTAACAGTTCACAAATTTAAAGCAAGGAGATTCCATGGAGACTTTAAGGAAAAGAAAATGTTAAAATAGGCTGTATTCCAGAAACAACATGAGCCCTTACTTTGCATTTCTTCTCCTTGGCAGAGTCATTCGAACAACTGGATACTTGCTGTTTACTCTGCACATTAATGCCTGTATTTATTACTGGGCTTCTGACTATGAAGGAATTGGAACTACTAATTGGGTGTATAATGGTGAAGGAAATAAGTAAGTTTTAATTTGAAGGAAACAATTTTATGGGTTCTTCTTAACTTTTCTGTTTCAGTGTATGTGTTTTCCTAAACCGCTGTTTTTGGGAAACTATAAATCACAACCCATTAATGGCCAGTAAAAAGTTTTTAGATCAGTTTACTTTTAAGTGAAAGAGAGTAAAGTAGAAGAGAATAGAATAGAAATTATCAGTCTGTCATACCTAATAGATGTGTGTGTGTGTGTTTGTGTGTGTGTGTGTATCCTGGATTGACCTGAGAAATGCATGGATTATGCATACCTGGATTATGATCAAAAAAGTTTGAAAGCCTCTGCTTTAGACAACTGAGTGGTAAGGTAACTTTTAACAACTTCAATGCTGATTGTTAGTAATGAACAATGTTAATTATTTGGAGGGCAGGTGCAGTAGCTAATTAGTTTACCACTGAAGGGTTTTATGGGTTTATGAGTCAGCTATAACCACTAACTCGATTAAACACTTACAGAGTAACAAGGATCATAAATTAAACTTGACAATTAGATATGCAAGTATCACAGGAATAAAAGAAATTATTTGAAAATCTTAGGGCCGTAGAATTATGATTCAATAGTAACAGCTGGGTTATTTAATAGTGAGATTTCCTTTTGGTAGATACAGGGGTCTGGCATAAAATTAACTCTCCTAACTTTATGGTCCAATGAAATGACATTGAGCATATTATAAGGCAATGTCCTTACTGGAAAAGGGCAGGTCCCAGCATGACTTTGAAGAGCAACTCACAGCAGCCTTGGGAAGGAAAGCAATTATAGGATAGAGCAAAGAGAGTGAAAATACCTCACAAAATTACACACTACCTAGAGTGAGCAGGATGTGTGTGAGGGATTATAACAACAGTCTTTGAACTTTTAATCAGAATTGATTTTAGAAATTTGAAGTCAGAAGACCCACTGATTAGGAAAACATACACATATACATACACACACACAGAATAACTATTCCTGGAAATCTTATAATCAAATCTATTAGTAATTCCATTTAGATTATGTAGTTTTAAAGATTTTATTTATTTATTTATTTCTCAGAGAGAGAGAGAGAGAGAGACAGAGACAGAGGCAAGCAGAGGGAGATGCAGGCTCCTTGCTGAGCAAGGAGCCGAATGTGGGACTTGATCCCAGGACTCTGGGATCATGACGTGAGCTGAAGGCAGACGCTTAATCAACTGAGCATTTTTATATATTTTTAAGATAATTTTCTTTTGACAGTTATTAATATACTTACTATTCCTCAAAGTTTTCAGACAACACCTTCTATTACTATGCCCCTTCTATTACTTCATATTATTCTGTGACCTCATAAGTCCAATGCATTTTTTACTTAGCTCTTTTGATGATGTCTGATGACCTATAAAGTGAAGGTTGCTTATGAGGTCACTGGACGTACATACTTTGCCCTCATTAGAATTAGGCAGCAAATTGTGGGTCATAAGTGAAGTATTGTGAACATTTAAAAAAAAAAAGTCAAATTTAATACCATTCCATTAATCCTCACCACAATAACATACCTATTCATTTTAATAGAAGTCAAAGAGTCATTTCATTTATATTGAATAGGCATCCTTCATTCAACTGCAAAACTTGATAAAGAAGAAGGTTTAGCTCAAAAGAAAAACATATGTAGTTAAGGTTATTTTGTACCCCAAAATATCCCCAGTATAACTTTGTTCTTTGTCCATATGTACCACAGTTTACTTATTTATGGGCCTAAATTTCCCAGTGTCCAGAAATGTCTTAACAAAAAAAAAGAAAAAAAAAAGGAGTTTAAAAATAAACAAAAAAAAAGTTAAAAAAAAAAAACAAGCAAAGCTGTCATGGGAATCATGGCTTTAGACAGGGTGATGAAGGAATCAAAATTACTATGCCTTATGCTGGGGAAATTTAGGAAGACTTACCTCCCTTCATTCTACACATGAAAAAAATGAGACCAAGGTAGATGAAGGTATTTTTTCACGGTTTCCTATACTTCAGGTCAGACACTAGCAAAAGGAAAGGAAAGGGAAGGGAAAGGAAGGGAAGGGAAGGGAGGGGATGGGCGAAGGGGAGGGGAGGGAAGGGAAGGGAAGGGAAGGGAAAATAATATACTCAATATTTTTGCTTTTATTGTATTTTCAAAATTTAAAAATAACTCTATACAAATATTGAACTCTGGCTAATATATCTGTTCTGAAGCACTGTATTTAGAAGGAAGTGCTTACTGTCTGCAAATTACTTTGAAATGCATCCAAAAAAATAAGATGGAAGGAAAAGAAAATGGATTGCTGAATGGAAAATTGGAGGGATATGTGACAAAGTAGGTAGAGTAAAATGTTTATATAGTAGAATCTAGGTGTTCACTATAAAACGTGGGGTTCACTATAAAATTCTTTCAATTCTTTTGAAAGGGAAGGGAAAATAAGGGAAGGGAAGGGAAAAGAAAGAAAAAGGGAGGGAGGGAGGAAGAAAAGAAAGAAAAGTCTTTACACTAGACACTATACACCCTTTGGATGTAACAAAACACCAGAACAGCAATGAGTTCAGTGGACCAGAAAGGAGATGAAAGCCATCTGGCAGCACAACAGGGAAGAGTCTGCAAGTGGATTCCACAGATGTGCTCACAGATGCAGTCTTCCTATGTTCTTATTTCAGTAAGTCTAGGTATGCATAACCATTCACTTATTCTTTCATATCATTCAACAAATATTATTAAACTCTTATTGTGCTAAGTCCATAAATACCTTTGTGGAACTTACCTTTAGTGAGACCATTCTCCCTCATACCCAGTACATCCAGTGATAAATTTATAGAAATGTGGGACTAGGGTGGATAGCAGTAGTTAAGAAGGTCCACTCACAAAGTATTAGATACTTTTAAAAGTTACATGTTCCACTGTACACCCACCACAAAGGCTAAAAATTAAAAAGACTGAAAATGTCAAGTGTGAGGGTAAGAACAAGAAACAACTGGAATGCTCATATATTGTTGGAGAGAATGCAAAATAACAACCATTTTAGGAAAAGATCTGACAGTTTCTTTTACAATTAAACATATAACTTACACGTTGTATGTAAGCGAAAAATCTCTAGATTCTACCCCTGAAACTAGTGTTATGCTGAATGTTAACTAACTGGAATTCAAATAAAAACTTGAAAAAAATGTACCTTACCAACAAAAATTCAAGCCTAAATATTTACTCAAGAAAAATAAAAATATGTGTCCATTATAAACTTACATAAGTACATTGAAGAATGTTTATTCATAACAACCAAAAACTTGAGACAGCCTAGGTGTTCATACATAAGAGAATAAACAAACTGTGCTATATTTGTGCAATGGATTTTACTCAGCAATGAAAAAGCAAAAACTGTTTTTACATACAACAACATGAGTAAATTTCAAAATCATTATTCTGAGTGAAAGACATCTTGCAGAAAAGTGTACATATGGTATAATTTCATTTATGTGGAATTCTAAAACAGGCAAAACTCATCTCTGGTCGAAAATATTAGAAGAGTGGTGGCCTCCGGTAAAGGAATGACAGAACTTTCTAGAGAGATGGAAATGTTCTCTATCTAGATAAGTGTTTGGGTTACACAGAAATATATATTTGTCAAAATTCATCAAATAATATACTCAAGATTTGTGCTTTTATTTTATTTTCAAAATTTAAAAATAACTCTATACAAATATTGAACTCTGGCTAATATATCTGTTCTGAAGCACTGTATTTAGAAGGAAGTGCTTGCTGTCTGCAAATTACTTTGAAATGCATCCAAAAAATAAGATGGAAAAGAAAAGAAAATGGATTGCTGAATGGAAAATTGGAGGGATATGTGACAAAGTAGGTAGAGTAAAATGTTTATAGTAGAATCTAGGTGTTCACTATAAAAGGTGGGGGTTCACTATAAAATTCTTTCAATTCTTTTGTTTGAAAGATCTTATAAAAAAATGTTGGAGGGAGGTTTCATGTCATGTTTGTTTCACAGAAGAATTTCTATTTTCACACTAAATGTTTTTTATGGTTTTATGTCAAATTCTGCCTTACTGCTCTAACTTGGAACTGTATGTATACAGCCTATTAGATACTTCATGTATTAAATCAGCCAGATAGAATCTCCTTGAAAAGATCTATCTTCCTGCCATGTTAATATTAGAGGTGGACACACTTGACTAATTAAGCTAATCCTAGAAAAATCAATAAGGTGCCATCTAATTAAATTACAAATCTTACCTCTGGTTGTGCATGTCTGAGTATACGAGACATGACTGAGAAAAGATCCAAAAATAAACCTCAAAGCATTAGGGCAGAAAACTTCCAATTAACATAGCAGAATATTTTGTACACAAAAAAATAATAGTTCAAGGCTAACACTTCAGATTCAAAAAAATCAATGTCTATATTTCACATTTGATTCTTTTCTACCATCCATAAATAAGAAAATGAAAGTAATTCATATTTATTCCTGCTAACACTGTAGTGACTTTGAAGGGGACAGTAATCCCAACATTTGTAATGGAGTTGGCCATGTAGGGAGAGAATCTAGACCCTGTCCCACTCTTGGGTAGTATTGGGTTCAATATATTTCCTTAATTTAAAGAGACCCACAAGTCCTAGGCCTGTGACCAAAGAAAATCAGTAATAGGAAATTATAAATTGGAATTTTAAAAATTAAAATGCGATTTATAAAATTAATTCCATACTTCTTCAAGGTGGTTCTCTTTGACATCCAGCTCACTATAATGTTAGCAAGTCCAAAGAAATCTGCTAGAAAAAATTACAGATTGGTAATATTTTTATTCTCTTGGCACAGTGGTTTCAAATCTTCCCAAAGAGTTAATTATTTTTCTGTTCCTACATCTGCCAGGCTTAAAAAAAAAAAAAAAAGAAAGAAACTCATGTCCTTCAAAAGGTATTGAATTTCAGAATAAGTGATTTCTTTCTAGATCTGCTTTTGAATATTGACTTTAACTGCAGTTTGATTCTTTGCAAACCTCCAAATCCCTACTGTTTAAAAATCTGAAAACTATAAACTTTTTCACAAGAAAAAGACCACCCTCGTTCAAAGACTAATACACAATTACTTGAAGTGCAAATATTTACGTGGCACACGTAATAAAAGAAATAAAAGCCAGACTAGGACCAGAATTCTGTAAAAAATACTGCTTTTCTGTGTCTACCCTAGAAACTAGAACTGCTAGTTGGAATCCACAAAATCCAGTGCCTCACTGCAGCAATATATGGAGATGTTGTGTATATATAGCAAATTTTTCTTCAAGGATTCGGTGGGAATAGCTGATTCAGACCATGTTATCAGAGCTATATGAAATATATCAAGTACTGTACCTAATGCACAAAAATTATAATAAATGTACAATGAGGTTGTAATGCCAACTTTCATTCCTACCTTACTACAGACTCTATGAAACCCTTAGCCAAATGTAGCTAAGTCAATCTTAGAAGTTCTGTGCTAATCTTTAACATACTCTTTTCTGCTGCCTTGATTTCTAATTCTCTTCCTATCTGGGCTATATTGATCCCAGTCTCTCCACTTGCAATTGTTTAAGTACAGAATCTTTATCAAGTATATTTCTAAACTTGATTATTATAGTAATCAAGTATATTGTTATTATACCTGATTTTCTTCAATACTAAATTTCTAGATGAATTACATATTACACCCAAGAGAAATTTCCCTTTCAATATTGAAGTCAGTATGCCTCTATCTCTGTTATGGTTATATATTCAATAATTTAATAAGTATGGGTAGAAAAGAGAGAGGAGGAATATATCTGCTCTATTTTCTATCAGTAAAAACAAGTGTATCTAAACTATAAAGGCTCTCCAATCTTTATAAATATCCTCGATCTCATAAATCACTAGTGTGGTAGTTTAAAGATGCCCTCAAATTCTTTGCTGCTCCTCTCATTGTAAGGATTCTGTAAAAAGTACTGCTATCCTTTCCCTCAACTCTGTAACAAAAGATTAAGACATTATGGAACTTCTAAGTTATAAGAAAACTTATAGCTACTGAGCTGCTAGAGCCACCATGTAAGAAGCCCATCTACCCTGAGACTACCATGCTATGAGGAAGTTCAAGCTAGTTGTACTGAGAGGCTGCTTGAAAAGAGGATAGCCAGACAGACCCATCCATCCTAACCAATCCAGCCAAGGCTCAGAAATGTGAGAGAAGAAGACACCTTGGGTATTCCAAACAAACATAATGTGTAGAACAGAGGAACCCAGTCAACAGTTAGAATCAAGGCCCCAGGTATTTGGCCTCAATAAGTCTGCCCAACTATCTCCAGTCATTAAAGTCACCCCAGCTGAGGGTCTACTCATCATGGAGCATTAATGAACCCTCTCTGTTGGGTTTTACACAAATATCCAACCCACAAATTTATAAGTCCTAATAAAATAGTTGTTTCATAACAGTAAATTTTGGGGTGATTTTTTTGCAGCAAGAGATAAGCAGAACAGCTAGTAAGCACCCTCCATTGAGACTAATTATTTAGCCATTTCATAATATTTATCAAGAAGTTTGTTAATAACATGGTATTTGCTAATGTTTCCTATAGAAAGAAAACCATGATTAGGAAGAAATGTGTTATAACCTAGTAGTAATCTATACTCCCAAGCATAGTGGTCTTTTAATATAATAGTAAAAAGCGAAATGTATATGTTTTCTTTTCACAGGTATCTGAGGTGTTATTACTGGGCTGTTCGAACTTTAATTACCATCGGGGGCCTTCCAGAACCACAAACATCATTTGAAATAGCTTTTCAACTGTTGAATTTTTTTTCTGGAGTTTTTGTGTTCTCCAGCTTAATTGGTCAGGTAAATAGAGATGTGAATCCCTAGATACATAATGGTACAATTTTTGGAAATCTAATAAGTCTTTATGATTTTACAAAAGAAAAATCAAAATCCATCTAGTGCTTTCTTTATTTTTACTAATGTTCATCTATTTTAATGAATTGGAGGAAGATGTGAATGAGCCAACACTGCCTTTCAATTTTTAAACTCTTATATCTCTCAGAAGACCTATCCACAGTGAGTGTCATGTTAGACTCAGAGAATATCAAGTTTCTAAATTGACTTCTTGGAATTTCCTGAAAAATTTTAAAATCTCCCTTCTTTAATTAAACTTCAAGTGTTGTCATACAGTCCCTAGATTAAAATCAACTTCAGAGGTTACTGAAACCAGAGGCTACTAAATGCCATCTAAATATATTTAATTAATAAGTCATTGGCTTATAAATGCTTACTATGACATCTCTTTGTCCTTATTCTCAAGGAATCACAGTCTGGTAAGAAAGTAAAACAATTGCAAATAACTATTGCAAGATAGTTGGCATTTGCAAGGCATAGAGTCCAATATCTTTGTGGACTCCCAGATTTACAAGAAATAAAAACCTGAAGAGCATAGCATTCTTAGAAGGTATACTTCATTAGGAGGTACTCCATATACCATATGTTTGAGAACAAAAAATTCATGTTGAGATTCGTATCCTGGGTAAAGAGTTAGGCAAAATCACAAAATGACTATCGTCACTAGATACATCATTAGTTCTTACCACACTCACTGTGGTATGAATAAGTCCCATGCTTTAACAAAATTTAGCAATAAAAACTATTTTTATAACATTTGAGGCTGACCACAATAGTCAAAACTCAACTCCTACACCCATGAATATCAGGGCCTGCTATCCATGGTAAGTACAAAAAGAAAGTTTGAAATCTCTATATTAGTTCAGAATAAGGAAGTTTCCCAGAAGAATGTATTTGCAACATCTTAAAAAAAAACAGATAGGATCCAGTAGTTATAGACAGGTAGTCCAATCAATCAGAAACAGTGTGAAAGATGGCAATGATAAAACACAAGCATGTTTGAGGAAATAGAGTACAGAATGACCAGAGTGAATGATGCTTATAAATAGGTTAGAGATGTACCTAAGGACAAAATATTTTAAGGGCTCCAAATATTAAAGATACTGAACTTTATCTAAGCGGAAATAGGAAGTTAGCCAATGGGACATTTTGAACAAAGGAGAGATTCAGGAAGATTAATCAAAATATAATATGAACTGGAAGATATGATACTGTTTTTAAAAGTAGGTTTAATTCCAGACTGTTGTGAGGGTTTTTTTGGGCAACCATCTTGGGAGAAGCTCATTATAGGGGTCAGATAAACGATGTGAAGTAAAGAAATTACAATTTTATTGCAAAAAAAGAAAGTGGGTTTTATTATGGGGTGCGTGGGTAGCTCAGTTGGTTGAGCGTCCAACTTTTGATTTTGGTTGTGGTCATGATCTCAAGGTCCTGATCTCAGGATCATGGGATCAAGCTCCACAATGGGGCTGGAGATTCTCTCTCTCTTTTTCTCCCTCTGACCATCCCCACCACTCATTCTCCCTCTCTCTCTCTCTCTCTCTCTCTCTTTCTTTCTTTCTCTCTCTCTCAGGCACAAATAAATAAATCTTTAAAAAGTAAAGTACGTTTTATTATTATTTATGTATGGTGAAGCCAACAAATCAGGAGACAACTGACCTTGAAAAGATAGTTTGTTATACAAAGAGACCCAAAAAAGAAGGATCACAACATGCCATGGGGCCACGTGGGGAAGCACCAGGGAAGGAACAGGTGAAGCAGGGTAAGCAGATTTAGGATTGGCTAGTTTGGAGAATTTTCACAGGTTCTGGGGAGTAGAGGTTCTGTCTGGTTGGCTGGTACTTGGCTGTGGGGTAATTAGGTGGATCAAGTGAATAGTAGCCTGGAATATGAGAGTCCAATAAAGAAGACTGTTGGGAGTATAGCCTCTGGATTGGTTACTTTGTCTATGAAAGGTGCACTCCCAGTGGAGTTGTTTACTATCTCTGGGAATTAGCTAACTCTGGGAGAGATAGTACCAGATATCAAAGCATCAAAATACAGAAAATTTTAAAATATGGTTAAAAAGATATATAGGGATATGGGCAACTCAAGGCTGAACATGGAACAGAGTGGAGAGAGAGATTGTAAAGGAAATTCTAGAAAATATTTAGGTTTGGGAAAAGCACATAAGCAGTTAAAAACTGTAAGTATAAAATATCATCATCTTAATGGCTTAATCATTACATTGACAATGATTGGAAATGGAAAGCTGGCTTAGAGAGAAATGCAATTAATTTGAACATAAACAACAGAAATCTTAATATTCCTTAGTTTCTCATAAAATCTGTGTGAGGTAGTCATATCCCCTGCTGTCTTACTTTTATACATGAAGCAACTCCAGTTTAAAGAGATTAAAAGGCATCCCTAATTCGTACATGTAATTCACAGTTGTATTGATAAGGCCATATAATATTGTTAGTAATAGTAAAATTTTAACATGTATTTAGCACTTACTATGTCCAAGACAATGTCTATAAAATTAAAAAAAAATTGTATCTTACTCCTATTAAATTTTCTTGCTACTCTGAATATGGTCTTTGGACTAAGAGCAAAAGAGCCACTTGGAAAATTTAGATTTCAGACTTCACCCCAGAACTAGGAAGTCAGAATCTGCAATTTAACAAGATCTTCAGGTGATTTATATACACATGAAAGTTTGCAAAGTGTTGCTTTACACACCACACCACATCTTCCTCTACATTGAATTTGAGGTTCCAACAGGAACAGAAAGAAATATCAAGCCACTGAAAATATACTAGAGTCTCCCCCCACCACCACAAAAAAGAGTGAGAAAGGAGATACAGATTTGTGTCTTAAACTCTCATAGTAAATACAAGATGCTGAGGAAAACAGTCAAAAACAAAAAAGGGACTAGGACACAATCTCCATGTATTCAAAATTCCCACATATAACTGCACCAAGTACTACATCCTGAATCTGATGATGACATTTTAACTACAGTATTCTATTCTCTGATACAACTCATAGAGACTAACATTTTCTCCCCCTAATCTGGAACACATCATGGAACGCATGTCTTCTCACCAATGCCACCAAAACCCAGCGCTGCTGAAGGATAGCGCATAAACCATTCAGATTACTGTCACTATAATTTCTGTGTCCTCAACATTGATCAATAATGCTCTTAATTATTCTTGGCTCCCAATTTAAAACTCTATTAAATCTCCAAACCCAGCCACTAATACTCTAATTCTCATGGCCTTCGGTGACTTGGTAATGTGTTCCATCTGTCAAGAATGGCTTGTAAAAAGGAGGTCTAGTAACTGAGGTTGTGAAGGGTATTTAGAATAGCACCAAGGAGTAAGTCAGGGACTGAAATAGATGTATCCAGTTGGACTCTCTGCATAACTCCTCAGCAGATACTTTTGATAAGAAGAAAAATCCATTGACTCTAAAAATATAAACTGAGGAAGGCACCAAAATAAAAGAGCCATTTGAAGTAGGCCTCAAAAGAATGAATAGTTTTCAGCTACTAGAATGAACGAGCAAAGTCTCAAGAATGTAAAAGTGAGACCCTGGTTTTCCTCCGTATTATAAACCCACAGTCAAAGCAAATTTACAACCACTTGCTTCCCTCTATGTGAGAGGAAGAGTCAAGCTATATATCTTTTTTGTGCTGAGACCTTAAAGATCAACTTTTAACCTAGAGTGGGTTTTTAGGGCTAAGTTATAAACATCCAAGAACTAAAACCTGACAGTTCCTTAAGTATTGTCACAGCAGTAGATGATGCTTCAGTAATTTCAGCACATTTCAACTTCTGCTGAATACTGTGCCTTAAGCATGATGAGATTTGATTTTATCTGTCTAAACAACACAAAGGGAAGTACAGAGGTTGCAATTTCATGATGAATTGAGTCCATAAAGCCAGACACACTGGATAATCTATGAAGGATGCTTTCAAAGTGAGACTCACAAAAGTGGACTAGACATTCTAACAGGAAATTGCTCAACATTCTTTGTGTATACCTTGAATAAGCACAAACTGTATAATTTTTAAAATACCAACTAGCATCTTTGCAGTAATATACAGGTTTGCAAAGAAGATTGGGTGCAGTCACATGCATTATGTGACTGAATCTTCACGAAAACTTCACATGGTAAGTAAGACAGGTCCTATTGTTGTCCTTATGGGGTCAGAGGGAGGATATGATTTGCCCAATGTTTTATATAAATGGTTGAAATTAAGATTCAATATCAGTGTGTTAAAAATCAAGTAGTGCATTGGAGTGGGATGTATCTCATAAAAACTCGTAATTCAACTGGGCTTTTAGTAACTCTTGCAGTTCCTCTGCCAGGTGTGAAATGACCGTATTTGTGGTTTTAGATGCAAGATGTAATTGGGGCAGCTACAGCCAATCAGAACTACTTTCAAATCAGCATGGATCAGACTATTTCCTACATGAACACTTATTCCATTCCTAAGACTGTGCAGAATCGAGTTCGGACTTGGTACGAATATACGTGGGACTCTCAAAGGATGCTAGGTAAGCAAGGCAAATTACCAATTAAATCCCTGAATAGCATGTCCCTATAATGCAAGTTCTATAAGTTAGAAGCAGAAAATAATTGGATTTGAGCAAAAGACTGGAGAACAACCAAGTGATCTTTAGAGTATTAGTTTAATACCATGAGATTTTCTTTTACATATCCAAACATAACTTACCAGTTATGCAAATGCTGAAAAAACTATTCCTGAGGATGTGTCAAGTGAGGAAGAACAGCAAAAGAAGCACTAACAGGTTCCTTCCTTCTCTCTAACTGTAGATACTGCTCTAACTCCTTGGTTTAGGAGGAAACTAAATACAAACAGTCCTTGGAAACAAGGAGTTATGTTTTTATAGAAAGGATATTCATATTTAGAATCAATACTGGAATCAAAATAAGGATATATCAATTCTTTTTTTTCTAAATGGTTGTAAGGAAACATCAAAAATAATCAACTCTCAGAAATTTGTACAACACTAGACTAAGAGTGGACAGATTTGTTTATGGGACATTTTATCAGCCTGAAGGCCCATCATTAAATTCACATACAGAAAAATCATTAATGTATTTGCATTCTTCATTGAGTTAATAAGAAAGTAAATAACAATAATTTAAATTTACTCAGCACATTTCTCTTTTTTTTTTTTTGATAGAATTTTTTAAAGATTTTATTTATTTGACAAAGAGAGACACAATGAAAGAGGGAACACAAGCAAGGGGAACTAGGAGAGGGAGAAACAGGTTTCCCACTGAGCAAGGAGCCTGACGTGGGACTCAATACCAGGACCCCGGGATCACGACCCAAGATGAAGGCAGACACCTAACGACTAAGCTACCCAGGCACCCCAGCACAGTTCCTTTTAGATTTCATTCCCAGCTGAGCCATCTACCAGTTATGCATAATTGAACAAGTCACTTACAATCTCTCTGAATCTCAGTTCTTTTTTTGTTTCGTTTTTCTGCAAAGCAGGAATGAGAACACTTACCCTTACGGTTGTCACAAGGGTCAAATAAGATAGTGACAGAGCTCAGTGAGCTTTCAAATGCCACATGGTACTCATTATAACTTGCCATCCTCAGGATGTTAGAGCTGGAATCTACAGAATCAAGACAAAAACTAGATCTTTTTTCCATTAGGTTGTTTACTAGCCATGTCCAATAATCACTAAACTTTACATCTTAAGTTTCAGTAACCACAATGTCCTGAAACTATTCAGAACTATTATGTCATCAATAGTTAAAATACAACTTTTCTCCATGAAAGTGATAGTGTGATTGTGATACATATGTATGTCCAATAGAAGTAATAAAAGTATAGAATTTGATGCAGCTATTTATAAAAAGAGTTGACACTTTATTTCCTTAATTTTTAAAATTTCTCTTACACGTATGTGATTTTTTTATTAATTATTCTGCTTGTGGGTTTCTGTGTTTGTCTTTGTAAAGATGAGTCTGATCTGCTGTGCACCCTGCCTCTCACCATGCAGTTAGCCCTCACTGTGGATGTGAACCTCAGCATCATCAGCAAAGTCGAGTTGTTCAAGGCAAGTGCTTTTACAATGAATACGAAAACACAGTATCAATTTCTCCATAAAGTCAAAGCTCTTGCTGTATATGGCATTTATTATTTTTATTGCCTTATGTTTTAACAAAATCAACAGTCTAGAATTTATGTGGAGTTAGATTCAAATATCTGTGGGTCTGTCTTCAACAGATGACTTATTCTTTAGAAGCCACTCTCTCCTAATTGGTGTCAGAAAAGAGTTCTTCAGGCTCTTCTTGAATTAATTTAAATATAATTAAACTCTGTCTTTGCTACTATGCATGCCATTTCCCATTTATGAATGTACCTTGACAATGCGTGACAAACCCCAAATTAGCTCTGGATTGGCCTGACATTCAGAGAATTGTGCCTAACCATGTCTCCTATTACTAATGTTTTGGATTTAGAGTTTTTAAATGGCCAAATTCAAATTTAGAGGCTTTTTTTGAAGATTTTATTTATTTGACAGAGAGAGAGATCATAACTAGGCAAAGAGGCAGGCAGAGAGAGAGGGAAAGAGGGGGAAGCAGGCTCCCCACTGAGCAGAGAGCCCGATGCAGAGCTCTGTTCCAGAACCCTGAGATCATGACCCGAGCCAAAGGCAGAGGCTTAACCCAATGAGCCACCCAGGTGCCCCTAGAAACTTTTTTTTTTTTTTTTGTAGAAAAAAGTGCATGACAGAAATTTTTTACTTTTGGATGTTTTTAATTTTACCATCCTCACCTCTTCTTATTGCATTGTACTGCATATAAGTGTTTCTCATTAACGTTTAATTCTGCCTGTAGTGTTCACTGATTCATCTATTCAATTATCTGTTCATTCTGTTCATTCAATGGCATTTATTAAGTCCCTACTATGTTTCAGGCATCATTTTAGCCACTGGGAATACAATAGTTGAAAACAAATACTTGCACACATAGAGCTTAAATCCCAAAAGAGGGGGATTAAAAAATAAATATGAAACATGTTTGGAGGTGATAATGCTATGAACAAAATTGAACAGGCTAAGGAAGATGAGAATGGTACCGGTCAAAAAAGGCTGCTCTAATGAAATACAACTGAGTATTTAAGCAAAAGACTGCAAGAGGCAAGGAAGTGAGGCATGCAGATATTGGGGAAGGGAAGGAAGAGATGGACAGAAGGACAATATTATAGGAAGACAGACAAAATGAGGCCCTGAGTCAGGAGCATCCTAAAGAAGCCAGAATAGCTGAAGCAAAGGTAGAGTGATAGGAAACAAAATAGTCAGAAGACAGTAAAAGAAAGGGAGTCTGGGGCATCAGGGTGGCTCAGTGAGTTGAGCTTCCAACTCTTGATTTCAGCTCAGGTCTTAATCACAGGGTGTTGGGATCAAGACCTATGTCAGGCTCTACGCTTAACACAAAGTCTGCTTGCTCCTCTCCTTCCCCGCCTGTCCCTACTCCTGCTCACACACATGCTCGTGTGCGCTCGTTCTCTCTCGCTCTCTCTCTCTCTCAAATAAATTGGAAGGAAGGAAGGAAAAGAAAGAAAGAAAAAAGATAGGAAGGAAGGAAGAAGGAAAGAGAGAGAAAGGGAAGCTGGGACACCTGGTTGGCTCAGTCAGTTAAGTGTCTAATTCTTGATATCAGCTCAAGTCTTGATCTCAGGGTTGTGAGTTCAAGCACCCTATTGAGCTCCATGCTGGGCATGTAGCCTACTTGAAGGAAAGAATCAAAGAAGGAAGGAAGAAAGTGAGGGAGGGAGGGAGGGAGGGAGGGAGCCAGGCGGGGGGGGCAAGTTAAAGGAGGACCTTGGAGGCTCTAGGATAAACCCGGATTGTACTGTGAGATGCAAATGCCAGTGAAGAATTAAGCAGATGACTATTTAAGATCAGTTTGAAGGGATCTCCCACCTATAATGTGGAGAATAGACTGTGGAAACAAATGTGAACAGTGAGGAGATCAAAGAGTGGTTACTGCAACTATGCATAGAAGAGATGATCACGACCAGACCCAGAGTAGTAAGAGCAGAGTTGTTAAGAAGTGGCCAAATATTGGATATATTTTTTATATATATAACATATAGTGTTTTATTAGTTTCAGGCATACAATATAGTGATTCAACACACCCATACATCACTTGCCACTCACCATGACAAGTGTATACCTTAATTCCCACCCTTATTATACTTTTGATTACAGCCATCCTAGTGGGTGAAAAGTGGTATCTCATTGTGGTTTTGATTTGCCTTTTTTTTAAATTAAATTTTTATTTACTTTTTAATTTCTTTTCAGTGTTCCAGAATTCCTTGTTTATGCACCACACCCACTGCTCCATGCAATACGTGTCCTCCACAATACCCACCACCAGGCTCACCCAACCTCCCACCCTCCTCCCCTCCAAAGCCCTCAGTTAATTTCTCAGAGTCCACAGTCTCTCATGGTTCGTCTGCCCCAATATTGGATATATTTAAAGAAAGGGGCCAAAGTTTTTGCTGTTGCTTATATGAAGAGAGAGAGAAAAAGAGAGAGAGAAAGAAATCAAAGCTGACTCCATGGATTTAAGCCTGAGGAACAGGAAGAACAAAGATACCATTTGCAAAATAAGAAGTTTTTAAGTATAGGGTGAGGGGGAGAGAAACAGACTATTTTGGGATATGTTCATTTGAAGTGGGAGTTAGACCTCCAGATGAAATGTCATGTAGGCAGTTTGATGAATAAATCTAAGTTCAGGGGAGATGTCCAAGCTGGAGTAATAAATTTGGGCATATTAACACATTGATGTATTTTAAACCATGAGACTGGATGTGATCCTCTAAAATGAAAGTGAAGACAGCAAAAAAGATGAATCCAGACAGAAATCTATGTCTTGAAAATACATAATCAACACCATTGGGGACAATATGAAGAAGCAGAAGCTGTATGGTAAAATGGTTGGAAAAAAAATAAAATAAAATAAAATGGTTGGGCAGAGTCACTTCCAGTGTTAGGTTCACCCTGGCTCCATAGGATACCAGTGTTAGGTCAGTATCCTAGGACTCTTTTCTTGATATAACCAGATTTTCTTTTTAAGATTTTATTTCTTTATCTGACAGAGAGATAGAGAGCACAAGTATGCAGAGCAGCAGGCAGAGGGAGAGAGAGAAGCAGGCTCTCTGCTGAGCAGGGAGCCCAATGCGGGGCTCTATCCCAGGACCCTGGGATCAATACCTGAGCTGAAGGCAGCCACTCAACCGACTGAGCCACCCAGGCACCCCTAACCAGATTTTGATGAAGATATGAACCATGTGATTTTCAAATAGGCAGATGACACAAGGTAAAAAGGAACAGTTTAAAATGTGTTAGATTGCAAAACTTAAAAATAATTGAATACTTTAAACAATAAGCAAAATCAAGATTAGTTTCAACAGCATAAAAGTTCCAAATTTATGCCTAAAATTGAAATATTACAAATATAAAAAGAGCCACAGTCAGTTTTATGACAAATTTTTTACACTTGGACGTTTTTGCTCACCTCAAACTCTGTATGAATCAACAGAGTTATGTATTACAATGTCCCAAATTTTTAACATAATTTGGTTTTCTTGATTATTTCAGCAACATATTACATTGCAAATAACCAGTTGTAAGAATTTTTGCAAGGTAGATAAACCAAGGGAATAGAGGTAGGAGCTGAATAGTGGACCAAGGAAATAGTAAAAGGATGATTTTTTTAAGATTTTATTTTTTTAAAAAGATTTTATTTATTTATTTGTGAGAGAGTGTGAGTGAGAGAGAGCGTGAATGGGGGAGGGGCTGAGCAAAGGGAAAATCAGGCTCCCCATTGAGCAAGGAGCCCAATGCAAGACTCCAAGGCTCAGGCTCCCTGCCAGGACACCAGGATCATGACTGACCCAAAGACAGATGCTTAGCTTAACTGACTGAACCAGCCAGACACCCTTGTAAAAGGAGGATCTTATAAATAACATTGTTTTATGATAATACAAACCAATTCAATGATTGTTTCTAGTGAGGTGTGAAAGCCACAAAGCTAAATTATTTTCACAGTATTTTAAAAATGTTATAACACTCTCTATACTTTGATGACTAACTTAACTAAGAATAGGTAACAACAATTGGCTCTCTTTAAAAAAAAAAAAAAGCTTTAAGTTATATACCAATGACTTTTATGGCATTATCTCTAATTTGGGAAGTTATCAGTTTCTAATATCAGAGTATTTTCCTTTGTTTTTACATATATTTCTTTAAATCCATAAAATCAATAACATCTGATTGAGAAAAAAGGTTAAATCTTCACATCTTGATGTTAGTCATAAACTTAGATTCATTCTTTTCTGACATTTCCATTAAATGTATTTTTCTCCCAGAAAGAACCCATTTCCATTTACATTTCTATTTTTTTTCATTAACATACAATGTATTATTTGTCCTGGTGTAAAGGTCTGAGAATAATCAGGCTTACACATTTCACAGGCTCACCATAGCACATAACCTCCCCAATGTCCATAACACAGCCACCCCATCCCTACACCCCTACCCCCAGCAACCCTCAGTTTGTTTCATGAGATTAAGAGTCTCTTAGAGTTTCTCTCTCTGCTGATCACATCTTGTTTCATTCCCCCCCATAACCCCCTGCCCTGCCTCTCAAATTCCTCATATCAGAGAAATCGTATGATAATTGTCTTCCTCTGATTGACTTATTTCACTTAGCATAATACCCTCTAATTCTATCCACATTGTTGTAAATGGCAAGATTTTGTTTCTCTTGATGGTTGCATAGTATTCCACTGTGTATGTGTATATGTATATGTGTTTGTGTGAATACACACACACACACACACACACAAATATATATATATATATCTTCTTTATCCATTCATCTGTTGATGGACATCTAGGTTCTTTCCATAGTTTGGCTACTGTAGACATTACTGCTTTAAATATTTGGGTGCACGTGCCCCTTTGGATCACTACATTTGTATATTTGGGGTAAATACCCAGTAGTACAATTGCTGGGTCATAGGGTAGCTCTATTTTCAAC